CCCACCCACACAACCACACCCTCAATAAGCCTACCCCCCCCCCCCCCACCACCCCCCCCTCAAATCCCAAACCTAGCCAATGTTTTAGTGGGGTTTTTTTCAACAAATTATACATTATTTGATGTTTTGAAACCAGGACAGGTTAATAATGCCCCTGTATATATATGAATGCTTTATACGAACTTAAGTTTTGCAGTTCACTCAGTTTTGGTTTAAATCTTTAAAATTTGATATTTCTCAAAACATGTTGACTGATTTCCTTCATATTGACAAATTTGGCGTTTTTTGTTGTATTTTATTTGATGGAAATTTTTATTGAAATTGATGGAAAGATGACGGATTTATTACCTTTCAAGTGGGTCGTTTTTTGGTCATCCTGTAGTTATTTTAACATTTATTTCCTATATCATAATGAGACATATAAGTTTTAAAGGATGTTCATCTTTTTCTTTCACATGGTCATCCTCAGCTCTGTGTATCAATCCACTACTGCTAAATGTGTGAAGAGAGCACTGAACGGCTGCCCCAAAGCAGACATCGAAAGGTTCCAAAACATTCAGGCTGTCAGTCAGGGCATCGTAGAGTCCTTGAATATTTGTGGCTCTCCCAAACTGTGCATTATCTCAGAGGCCTATGTGTGTGTTAACAAGTATGGGGCTGCTCTGACTGCCTATGACAACTCCCAAGAACTGAAGGAATTATGTATGTAAGTTAAAGAACTGATTGGATGGTGATTGTGTGGATTTTTGATAGGAGATTATGTAATTAAACAAACAAATGAACCCCCCCACCCTCCTTCCACACATACACACACACAAGGGATCCCAGATTAAAAGACATACTCGGTTCAAAGCAAATGTCATGGTGAGTCATCTAGTGTTATCTATTATTAGATAGGATGTCTCCAAGCTATTCCGTTGAGAAGTGAATGTCAGTTCTGTAGGATCAGCAGTAGTCAGTAGTCGGACATTGAATTAACACTTCTTGAATGTCCCTTTGTATGAATACTGTGATATTTATTATTTGTATTCTTTAAATATGTAATCAAGACTCATTTGTTTTATTCTTAATTGTAGTACAATAGTAGGTATGTTTTGTTTTCACTGTTTTCCTTTCATGTATATAATTAATGTGTGATTGAGAAATTTCTTCTTTATGTGGTTGACTTAGTTTTCTTGTTAATATATTGTGTGAAATGTTTTATCTTGTGTGAATGAAGTATTATGCTCAATGATTATGTTATTGGTGTAAAGCGCTCAGATAGTGCTTATACTTGTATGGGAAAGAACACAATAAAAATACAATCTATTATTTTTATTGTATTAAGAACACATGTTTTTGAAAATTATCAACTATTTGGTCTTGGTTAGAAAAATGATTTTATGGGAATTTACAGATCAACATTTAGCAGAACAATACTCATAATATTTCCAAATATTATCTAGACAAATAGGAGCCAAAAGCCAGGGGAAAAAATTCTCAAGAGTATATTTTTCTTTGCTTTGTGTCAAAATGTATCTTTGTTGATTTCTTTCAGGGCAAAATTTGCAGCTGAAGAGTGCTTGGAAATGTTCACTGGTTCATGCAGCTCAGATGACTCCAAGCCTGTGAAGGCTGAATTTGACGTGAGTTTTGATGAAGCATTTTAATATAGATTAGGGCAAAACCAAATCAGGCAGCATGAAATAAGACTAGCTTTCTACTGCAAGTCGCAGAGAATTCTAATCTAATGTTCAGTGGCGGTGGGTAGTGAAGAGCTCACGGGCTTGAGCCCCACAACTCTATCCCAAAGCAAAAGAAAATAACGAAATAAGCAATTGAAACCGTTATGACCGCACGCAATGAACACAAAGTGATCAACTTGTTGGCTTGCTCGTTTATCCAATCACTGTTGCCACCGCTTACAACTATAGTAACCTAACAGCCAATCAAATGTCTTTAGGGCTCAACAAAGATGAGCCGGTTCCCACCGACCCTCGTTAATGAAACTCTTCTTGTAAAAAGGTAGAAGACTTGAAAAAACTAACACTGCACAGAGGGCTCACGCTGTCCTAGCCCTGACAATGGGGTGAAAGTTTACAACACACTTTCCCCCCAGTGACACAGTTACCTACGCTCCCATTGGACCTTTGTTAGGTGCTGTCTACTTTCCTCGACTACACGGCCTAATCCAGCTCGTGGAATGCTGTGTATATATGTTTGTTGTGTGTGACGCTGAGATTTAACAGTTATTAATCATATCAAACCACTTTTGAGGCAACTTTTTCATCAGATGAAAATTAATTAGAGAAGTTTGGAGGTGAAGCATCAAGAAGAATTTAACATAGAACAAATAGAAGGAAGACAAAGGTGACTCTTCTCGTTTGAATGGTTCTCAAAATGCCGTGGCTCGCCGTGAGTATGGAAAAATCACCACTGTTTTGTTCTTATTGTTTGCTATTTGGTGGTAAAGAAGTGAAAGCAACCTAAGCACCACCCAAATTTTGGTCCACCCACCGCCACTGCTAATGTTTCCAACAGCTTCTATTGCACACATTATTACAAGTGATGAACAGTTCTCCATAAAAGTTCTACTTCTACAATAGTCTATAACGCCCTTCTATCCTCATGAATTAAGGTAAAATTATATCTGGGTACAGCCATGTTTGTATCACTTTTGAAAGGAAATGTTGATCAAATATGAGTGAACTGAAACAATAAGAAAGTTTACCTGATACAAATTTTGTGAAATTTCAGTTTCTTGTGCATGGTTTTCGAACATGCGATCAATTATCTTATCTTATTTGTTGAAACTGAAACAGAAACTGCAATCCAGAGTGAACGAAGACTGCGACAAAGTGGAGCTGCCGCGTCCCCCAATCTGCCCAGAAATTCCCGAAAAGAGCCGAGTGTGCCGATTTGGCAACAGCTTCAGGTGTATGACCAACTTCAACGTGAGGATTATGAATGGAGGAGACTCTTTGGTTTGGAGACAGCAGTGCTCGTAAGTGCAGAATCTGATGTCATTAAACCTTGAAGTCAACTTTTCATTTTCTTTCTTTTCGTGTTTCTTTATATGTTATCCTTTCTTTATATCGCACCTCAGTCTTGCATCATCACTGACAAAGATTTATGCAGTGTATGACTTCCTCTTTTCGTGTATCTAATCTTTTTTGCCCTAGTACCAAAGGAATAATGTGCCCAAGTTCCAATAAGTTTTTAAATTATTTTTTATTGAGAGCTATGTCTGTCAATATTAACATAACCGGAAACATGGCTGTTGTAAGAATATATTAAAGTTCCATGGAAAATGTAGTAGTTTCCTTTCTCCCCTTTCTCACAAACAAACCATGCAGGAACATGCATATCCGACGGGCACCCACACACACACACACACTCTCACACACACACACACACTCACACACACACACTCACACACACACACACACATACACACACACACACACACGCACATACACACACACAAACACACAAGGCAGGTATATGCATATACACATATATACAACAAACTTACGAACTCAGAGACATCTATGGGTGATTGTCAAGTGCTGCAGTGTGTTTGCTCCTTTTTTTCTATCTAATCTATGTTGTCCTTATCTCCCACCCTGTTCTTTGTACCTTACTCTCTATAATACCTATAATCTTTAGCACTTACAAAGTGTCCTAAACCCAATGATCACCAAAAAAGAATCAAATAACATGAAAATTGCTTTAAGTACAATATTGGTAACAATGATTTATTTAATGAAAAAGAAATACTCATATTAGAATTGTTAGCTTTACTAAAAGATGCTCCACATGGTCCCTCATCTCGAGCAATTTATTTGTGTGTTCTGACTAAAGTATGTACATGTATAGTGTGCTGTCACTGCTGTGACAAAGTTCTTGTCTCGATTACTAAGTTCCTCTCATTCACATCAACCGGTCTTTCTGTTGCCCAGAGCACAATTTTATAGTTTGTAGAAATTGGGCTCAACGCTAAAGCAAACTGCTCTCCAAAGCAATGTCTGGGGTTATACCTTGGTAGATAAAAATGTAATGTAGTTTCATTTTAAAATCATATATGCTATAAAGTTCTGTAAGTCTGCGACTTTGACAAGATGAGTTCCGAGCCATGCCCTCGAACAGACTTCTCTGGCAGTGGTACGACTGACGCAACGCTTTGTTTACGCTTACTCCCTTCCTTTCTTACCCCCTGCAATAACAGGTTTAAAGCTTCTTTTTGGACTTGAATTTTGTGTATTTTCTAACACAAAAGGCCTTTCTAGGGTGACTCCAAGATATGGTTGAATCAGCAGTGTTCTTCTTACCAGTTCAAAGTTGAGCATAGATTATAGCATCCAGATAATCAAACACAGTTCCTGTCAAATTTGGTGCAGATCCGCTCAAAATTAGAGAAGTTATTAAATTGTTTTTTCATGGCTATCCAGTCTGGGACTGTAAGTTAACACCTATTCACATTGCAAGTACCCTAAAACTCTTACAAAACTAAACTTAACTAAAGATCCATCTAATATCTTTCAGATGAGAGTTTGCTTTGAATCCTTTGGGTACAGCTGGTCAATTTAGGACGTTATATATTTTAATGAACGAGGGCACATATGACAACTGTTAGGCAGTATTCGGTAATTCAGCTTTTATTATGCATGTTTAAGCTCCAGAGAGGAATGTTTCTTGTTAAATGTGATCGGATACATTGAACCTAAACAGTTATAAAATTCAAGAGTCATTTCTATGTTTGCCGAAACAGACCGTAGTTCTTTGTTTAATCATCTCGTAAAACTCAAACCAAGAGTTTACCAGGCTGTTTCTCAGAGTGCCCTTGAGTTAAGATGACTCTGGCTTTAAATTACAAATTATGATTCTCTTCTCAATGGAATCTTTTTTTCCCCAGAAACCTTCAGAATATGATGGCATGTGTGGCCACCAATACCACATCCTGTGACGCAGAGAGTGAAGATGTGGAGACCATTCTGGACTCCCTTGATGCCCTGAAGGCTAGCGCTGCTGACCGCTGCCCTTGGCTGACCCAGGACATGTGCAGCCGAGAGAAGCCCTGTCCAGTGGCCACTGCTGGCTGTGAGATAACCCTTGAGAAAGGACTCATCAACAGTGAGAAGACCGTTTGCGAGTAAGATACAGTGACGTATAAACTCCACCATCTGAATGGTGCTAATTGCAGCCTTATGACTTTCAAAAAGATGTGGATGTACTTTAACCCTCTTAGCACCATGATATCAGTGTTCAGGGGATGTAGCAAAGAAATTGCATTTGCTTTTGATCTAAGTGATGTATTTCTATAAAATTTCACATACAAAGACCTCGGTTGTCAGCTTCTAAATTTGAAGAGGAATGTTCTTATTTCTAAGCCCATACTAAAGGCGGGTGTGTCAGGTTGATAAAAACCGCTATGGTTTTACAGCGGGAAAGCTAGTAAAAGCCGGAATGGCAACATGACAGGATGGCTGGTTTAGGCCAGTATGGCTAAAAAAAGTTAATAAATTTTAATCATTTAGAATATATGTCTTGTTTCAATTCACGCAATTTGGAATTGCCTAGATGGGAGTTCTTAAATGTGTCCATAGCTTTACTGACTAGGTAAATGTAGGATGCATCATGTATAATGTGGAATGAGAAAATTATAACGTAATATCAGTGTTACCTTATCGTGCAAATCTCTGATTATAATTGGCTTACGTTAGTGCTTGGATTCAATGACCTCATCTGATTTTGCACTGCATACAAATATAATCATTTTATATTTAGATGAACTACTTTGGCAAAACTGAAAATGAGATTTTATAGGTATAGTGCGATTTGCAATCTGCTTTGGTACTTGTGGATGCCTGTATGAAAACCCTCTTGAATTACAGTATTAGATATTGAAGGGATACTTTTAAACCGATTTTTATTTCACAAAAAGAACCTATTTTTTAAATATTTTTAAAAAATGCGTTCAAAGTCTAGCTCAAGGCTTTTACTCATGAAAATTAGCTTCATTCGTAACACTGTCTTGCAAGTTGTTATTGGCAAAGCAATATCTTTAAGACAGAGACTGAATGCCTGTGTAAGAGCATGGTACAGATAACCTGAACCTCTGTTTCTGTCTTTGTCAGACTGAGGGATGATGCCTATGCCTGTGTTGCCGAATATTCGACAACTTGCAACGCAGCTCAGAAGGCCCAGGCGATATCAGTCATGGATAGAAAGGTGAGAATCCGAAAAGATATGTTCTTCCTTTGTGAGGAACAGCAAAGCTCAAAGTTCAAAGGAAATAATAATATTATGTAAAGTGATATCAACTTCATTTTAAGCTGTTTTTGGTTGGTTTTTATTTACGCTATATATTTATTTAAAAAATTAATATTTGAGACCTTTCCTTCCAGGTAAAGTAGACTTTAGGCAATGTTCTTTTTCAATATTAAAAGTGTGCAGTTTTAGATCTGGCAAAATGACTCAATGTCAAAATCAATCTTGCTGTTCTGCATATACTCTGTAGGAGGCTCTAACAAAGACATCAATTTTAAAACAGATAATGTAATGTATAGCTAGAGGTTTGTTATATTTATTTTGTGAACCTTGTGATTTTTCTGGAAATTATATGTTTTTACAATGTTCAGTATCATATATATACGCCCAGTGGAAATAGAAACATTTCATTTTGTATTTTGTAACTGTGTCCTTGTTCACGTGAGTTAGTGAGTGAAATTTTGCACATCACTCACCATATACCCAACAACGACTCCACGCTGATCTTTTTCTTGATCAAATATGCAACTACATGGTCATGTGACCCACATGCAAATTAACATGTTTTGTGACTTACATTCCCCTGGAATTATGAAATCATCTGAATTATGTTTAGATCAACACATTAGCAATTTTGGAACCGAAAAATCAAGTTACATACACATTCCAACTGGCTTTTGTTGACTTACATTGCTGCACAAGATGCCAAGGTTAAAACCCTGTGGAGTCCTGTTGAGCAATCTGAATACTCCAAGCTGTGCTATCGGCCTGTTGAGTGGGGCGGATGCTTCATAGCTCCCATCCTACCATCAATAATTTGAAAGATAGGTTCTAAGTCACTGGAATTACACCTGATAGACCCAGACCAAGCAGACCACAGGTCGATACTGCTCCAGAAGACGGACAGATACTGCTCTGGCATCTTCAAGATCACTTTCTCACAGCGACCGGCTCTGCACATCAATTTCATACAGACACTGGAAGAGTTATCAGCAAAAGAAGGATGCAGCAACGTTGAAACACATTTGGACATCCAGCAAGGCGGTCGTATAATGACCAACATTTGCCATCTTTCCAAGAATTACACTTAAACTGACTGGGTAAACCGTCACATTTGTCTGGGGTGGAGTTCTCTTCTCGGAGAGTTTAGGGACACAAAGGAGAGAGAGATTAGCAGACTGCTCCATGCATGAAATCGACAGATGGGGCAATGGCAGTGTGATGGTGTGAGGTTGAATATCTTCCAACCACAGAACCTAGCCCACATTTCTAATGCTACTGTTGACACCAATGAGTACCAGAATGTTGTCCGGACATACTTGGTTCCCATCTTTCAAACCCATAGACGTAGGCACACATTCCAGCCTGACAATGCATGCCCACACATTACCCGTGTAAAGATACAATAATTACAGCATCAAAATGTAAATGTTTTGCTATTGCCAACGTACTCGGCACAGATGTCGCCCAATGGGCCTAAGAATGAGCTCTCAGAACGACATATTAAACATTGTACAATGACTGGGACAAGCATTGATTCAAGAGTGGAATGGACTGCCTCAATAATTACTTTAAAAAAAAAAAAGAACCCCCCCCAAAAAAAACCAACCCCAAAAAACTGACTCGATCAATGCGCAGTACATGCCAAGATTGCATCATTGCAAAGGGAGACAATACCCATTACTGACGTGAAATTTTGAAATCAAGGGGTACGAGTTTGTGCTTAACACTGTGCCTCCATATGAGACATGATCAAGAAACAAAAGGTAATACACTTCTTGACATACTTTGAAATACGTCTGTGTTAATTTTTGTTTATTATATGTGGAATAATAAAAGCGATATAGACTTCTCTCCAAGTGGAAAGTTTCTATTGCCGCTCTATGTATAAATATAGATATATATTGTATCTATATATATCTATATATATATTATATAAAAGGGCATAATAAGGGAAAAACCAGCGATCTCAGGTTTTTGCAATTCCGAGATAATTGAAAAACAAACTTTAAAGACTTATAACTCTTTTTATGCTACAATGATCTCTCCACTGTTTACATTGACTTCAAGTATGACCATTTATGTTGGCAATAAGAAATTTTCAGTCCTCGTGTTATGGGTGTTTCGGTGAGAGCAAAATAAAAAATTCTGTATCAAATTGGCAGCGCTGGTTTTTCTCTTGTAAGCTGTTGGCAAGGCCTCCATCTTCTAGGAAGTGAATGAATTGTGAGTTTCTTTACTCATTGTGAATAAATACCAAACTAAATGATTCAAACAAGAAAATTGCAGACCATTTTGTAATATTTCCTATGTTTAAAAAAAATTTAATTTAATATTCATTTTTGGATGACGACCCTGAGTCATCAGACTCTTGTGTGGCACTTTGTCCTCCAGCATGGGGCAATTCAGAGAAAGCTGTCGGGCCAGAACGCCTTTTTGACCTTCATGTCTGCATATTTGGCAGCTTTGGTGGTCAGCGGGCGCTTATAGCTAGAGGGGTTTCAGGGGTTGGAGTCTTGCAGCGCTCTTCTTTTTCATCAGCTTCATAATGATTGCAGTGTCAAGCGGACCATTCCAGCTCTCTCTCTATACTGCATTAGCTGTAGATGGGCCTGTGGGATGCAGATTTCAAGCAGAGGTTGAGTGGGTATAAGGCGGAAGACACGGTAGTACGGTTTAAGGTTTTCTGGCACATTCTGGAATATGGCTTGTGTCATCCTGACTATCTGGAGCAGCGAGGCTTTTCTAAGGGCTGTCTTGAATTGCTCCACCCAACTGGCTGGCATATCTACAAAGACCCTCTCATTCACCAATGCCATGTCTCTGTCACATTCCAAGTAGCTGTGGCCTCTCACTGGAAATGAGATTTTCACCTTTCATTACTTTTCCTGGTGGACAACAACATGATAGAGAAACCGTCCAGTTCTTGTTCTGGCCTGCACACGAGTCACATCAATTGGCAGAATGTGTAGAAAGTAATGTAGCAGTATGCTGGTTACATGCTACATCGTCTCCACCCTTTTTGCTGACTCATCATTTAGAGAGAAGATTTTAAAGGAGCATATAGATATCAGCCAACGATTGTACAAATCGTTTGCTGAGATGTTTGAGCAGCCCATGTTCTTAAGAAAATCAAAGGTTAGCGCAAACATGGGTTCTCGATGAATTATTTTCTCATTTAGCAGAGCATATAAGTCCAGTGCAGGGGTTCAAGTCTCAGCTCGGTCCGACGTCTTTGGGAAAGGCTTAGTCCTTACGGGGATGGACATTTAACTCGGAGGTCCCACATCTTAAATAACCTAATAGTGTTGACAGGGGCGCTAAACCTTCACCATTTTTCACTGAAATATGGTCACTGATTGGTCACAAGGGACGCAACAAAGAAAAGTATGCTTGACTTTGCTGGTTGTTCCGTTGTTGACATCAATTAACATTGCTAGTTCTTCCATTGTGGGCTATATTTTCAAACTCTCACAGAGACTGGCAGCGCTGTTTTTTCCCTATGTGGCGAAATGGACTAAAGCAGACCCAGCCAGGCATCATGCTGGGACAATAACCCAAGAAATTTAAAAAAGTGATATCGCTGGTTTTTCCCTTGTTCCCTTCATATTTATAAATAGGTATTATAATATTATATATTTATCATAAGTGTATGTCCTGTGACATTATTTTTAATTAAGATTTTAGTTTTTAGTTCGTAAATGCTTGTTCCATAATTTTAGGTTTTGATGTAAACAAATCTCGAAAGTAGAAACTTTAAATCCTTCAACAAAATATCGTGTCTATAACCATGTTAGTGGGTGGAAATTTGAAATTGTTGAAGTATCTTGTGTGGTGTGTTTGTGAAACCAAAACACGAAAGATGGTCACACCATTTCTAGTTCTAGATCTAGCTATGTTTTCTGGGCCTGGTAGTAAACGACCCTATAGGCATATAACTTGTAAAACTGACTAGGGAATTTTTCTTTAGTAAACTTGAGGACGGAGATGATATTGTCTTAGAATCCTTAGCTTTAGATTCTGATTCTACCGATGATTGAATCGAGAGTGAAAAGTGTGAAAGACATAATTCGTAGGTCTAAATCTACAGTGACAGCAAAGAGGATAGTTGGAGATAGGGAAGTGAGTGAATATGCTTGGAAATGAAAGAGAAAGAAAGCCAAGAGAAGTGAAAATCAAGAGGATGACCTAGATCTAGGTCTAAATCTAAATCTAGACTTGGACAAGCAAGTGCAACTTGGGCAAATTCTGATTCATTGCAACTTTTGGTATTGTCACAGTGATGTTACAAAATTGATAGTAAAATCTGCTAGAGTTGCATGATTTCATACCTTTTTGCATGTACTTGCCCGGAATTGAATGTAACATTTATTTTATGAGTGTAGGAATCTTTTTTTGAAACATAAATTTTATTATTATATACATTCAAAGTTGGAAATTTAGTTTGTCTTTTTATTTGCTCCCATGTGATGGATGTGTTTTCTGACAAGTATATCAATTACGGCTTTTGCCTAATCAAATATTTTGTTACACATTTCAATGCTTCGTTTTATTACCTTCAAAATATGTATGACACTACCTACTTATATATATTCGTTTTACTTATGAAAATCCTTCCCGAACAAACACACCTATCATTCACGATCGGATGCTCAGAGAAAATCTGTAAAAGCTGGTATAAAAATGGGCAGAGAATGAGTTAAGACGAAGTCTGTGATAAGCCAAGATACAAATTTATCGAGTATGTTCTTGACTGCTTTAGCCAGGACCTGTTTAACATGTGTTGTCGATAGGTGCACACAACTCTGCCCTGAACCCTGTGTCTTTGGTAAAGGGATTTGTTTTTTTTACTAAACTTTCTTTGGAACTTTCTGCCCTATTGCCTTCCCAATTTCTCAGATAAGTAGCCTACCAAGTATGTCATCAAAGCTCAAGTAATTTGCTTTATCAACAAACTTCCCCTTTTCTTGTCTTCTTTCATAACAAGTTCATCTCTTTCTTCAGCTGGAATCAGTTGGCCTTCCAAAGGAACTTTCTTGCGCTGAAGGCAGCCTTGATGGTCTTGTGTACGCGGCTTTGTCTGCTGTCAGAGGATTTGGCGTCGTTTCTACGGTGGAAGAGACATGTAAAGTTATCCGTGCCAAAGTTGACAATTTGACCGCTGAGTTCAACAAAGAAAGTCGGGGACAGTTTTTGACTGCTGGACATACCCTTCTTGGTCATCTCAGAAATGCTTTGTGTGAAGGTATGATTGTTCTTGTCATATTCATATTTTGATGTTGCAAGGTTTCTCTTTTTTTGTTCTATTTAAGCTATATTTTGAGATAGATTTTAGAACATTTGGTGTGGTTGATTTCTTGTCGCTTCAACACAGTGCAGTTTTTCAAGAGACAGTGACAGCACTTCAACACGTTTCTCCGACACAATGGAGCCAATTTAGTGAACAATTATGAATACTCTTTAGACAAGCAAACTAACCAAGGGAAAAAATGCACTGTTGATACAATGATACCTTGGCATCGGCGCTGCGAAATGTTCTGGAAACTAAGAATAGGATAAAAAAATAGCCTCTCTTTTTTCATGTCTCATCAGAGCATTTCTGCCATTTTGGTTAAATATGTATACAAATTTGTATCCTGCTATGCGCACATCAGTATCATTTACACTCCATCTTCGCAGACTGTTAAACAATTTAATTGAAATTAAGAGAAAAAAAGGGAGGAGAGGCAGGAGATAGTGAAATGTTCCTTTCCTGAGCATGCATTTCTGTCCAAGCAACACGGGTAATTGAACTCACAAGTAATATTATTATAATAATATTAATAAGTCAAGCGCTTTTCTGCTAAGAAAGGAGGAACCAAGAAAGGAACTAGATCTGCTACTGGTTTCTATCGCTGCTCCATAAAAGTCAAGCGGGAGAGGGGGTATCTTTCACCGTGTTGAGGGGGTATCTTTCCGGGAAGCAATAATGCTCAGGGGAGGCTAATTTTGAAAGAAAAGAGAAATATAAAGAAAGCTTCTTTAAAGTAATGAATCAGCGTTTGCTGTGCAGACTTTAGGAGCTTTGAAGCCAGCCTCCTAAATAGGCGAACTATCCATGGAAACATAAATACCTATAGATATATTTAAAAAAAAAATAAGTGATGAACTTTCAACTTCATGTGACCATCAAGATGACATAAAGTAGCAAAAATTTAGTTCTTTGTATATATGTGAGGCAGCGTAGTGAAATCAGGTCCTGGGTGTTGGGCAATGTTTACAAAATTTTCTCTTTTTGGCTCAACACCTTCTATGTCTTTTTAAAAACAAATTTCTCTGTGGATGTTACAGAAAAACTTTGATTAAAGGCACGACAAATGTAAATTCCCAGTTTCCACGGACACTCCAGCTTTGGAAATCACCAAACTTTGGCAGCCATTTTCATGCTAATTTTACCTGTCACACCAGGCGACCCCCACCTCCTTCTATTGCAAAAATCTCGACTTCTATTCAAGGTAGACGTGTATATTTTTGCCAATAGTAAGACAAATAAACAAGCTTCAATATTATATTAATAGCTCTATGTGGCCAAAAACTGACGAGCGCCTGATTTCACTTAACAAACAATATGGTTTGTACTAATATATAATAAGTTCATTACAACAGGGTAGGGAATCCCCGTCACTTTCTTTTCCTCCTTGTTCTGGCTACCATAACTTCCTTGTGGATTCTTCTTCTTTTTCTTTGCACTTCCCTGTTAGATCTCAGGAGTAGTCGACTGCTGGTTCTTCAACCTGCACTGCAACTGATTTTTATGTATGTGACCACCAGGGCAGTGCTACTGACTGAAGTCATCTTCAGGCCATCCCCAAAGGGGAGAATATTAACATTGTAGAGCAAAGGAAATTACACCAACACAACCTTCTTCATCGTGAGACAAAATTGTAATGAAAGGCATAGAATGAAAAAGACAACACACTTATAATATTACAACAGTGAGCGATGACTCACTCCCCGGCGATACCAACTTTGCGGTTAGCACAATGTCATTGTGTGTGGTGTAGACATGTATCGGAAATGTGTATGTGTGTGGTGACGTCGTGAAGAACTGAGGAGATTTGATGTGATGTCCTGACCTGGTGGTGGTGATATCGTTATCAGATGCTTTGTTCTTACTTGAATTGAAGTGTGAGTGCCTACTGCTCTCATGTTGGGTCATTGAATGTTTTGGATTGCAATGAGATGCTTGTGAGTGTGCTGAAGGTTGATTTGATTTGGCAAGTGGTCAGCCTTGCAGAGGTGGCGATTCCAGTGGTACCGGTTGAGTAGTGTCGACATAAGCTGGTGTCAGGGGATCGACAGAAACTCGTTCTTCCTGACGATCTCCGATTCGTATTTGGAATGTCTTATCTCCTGAAGCAATGACTTAACTTTGTATGGGCCATGATACGGTCGCTACAAGAGACCGCGGTGAGAATCAGGGCAAATGAAAACAAATTTGGCTTTTTTATAATGAATCATGAAAATGAGTTGTTTGTTGTCCATGTTGAGTTGTAGGGGAGGGGGAAAATGACTTTATGAATAATTTTATTGTGTGTTTGCTAAGTGTTCAGTCGCTGTGCGTGTTGATGTGTCAGCAAGGACGAAATCACTGGAGACGGTAAGGGGCCCGCCATACACCATTTATGCACAGGACGCCTGCATGTCTTCCTTGGGAGTTGTTCTCACTCCTAGCATGACCCATCGCAGTTCTTCACTCCAATTTTATCCTCTTAGGCGGGCCTTGAGAGCAATTTTTAAAGTCCTATGAAACCTTTCAACCAATCCGTTTGAGCCAGCATGGTATGCCGTAGTTATGTGTATTTTGACGTCGAGTTGTGTGGCCATGATACTCCATAGGGCAGAGGTAAACTGGGGTTCTCTGTCAGGAGTCATGTCGAGAGGAACTCCGAAACGGGATATCCAACAATTGACGAGGACCTTAGTGCATTCCATTGTTGATGTTTCTTTAAGTGGCACGACCCTTGATGCTCAAGTGACCTTATGCAGTTGCGAGCACCGTAAAACCTTACCAAAAAAAACTAAATGTATGTGACCAATTTACCTACTTTGAGGGGCCTCTTGACTTCAGGCAGAAACATTCCGATTTCAAAGGTACTCTTTATGGGTTTTTTTTACTGACTAGAGTATTTTCAGTTTGATAGAAATTGAATTTTGCCTGCGTGGAGGCCGAAGTGTATTCTTATTGATTTTAGGACTACCAAGGAATCTTTAACGTACGAAACTTTCGCATGAGACCTCTGGGTTTTTTCGCCCTTGTCAGACAGAGCCCAGGTGTTCGATCTTACCTACCCTATGATCAATGTGGTTTTGAAGGACAGCACTCAGAAGGACTCATTGGAGTAAGGGGAAAGGAGCACAGAGGAGGCCCGGGGTGGGAGGGGTGGAGGGGAAGTGGAGTTAAAAGTAAATGACAACAGGATTAGAGAACAGGAAAGGAGGTGAAAGGAGACAATTTTAGAGAAAAAGTTTTCCTTGTCACTGACTGGTTTCGATCAACTGACCTTTCGAATGAGAGGCAAACACCGTACCTCTAGCATAGACCACTATAGAGCTCTATTTTTCTATGTCGATTGCATTTTTATAAGAGTTTTGTTCTCATATATAATATTTACGTCGATCATACCATTTTGATATGGCTCTCATTGACAGCGGCTGACAAAACAATGAGTAATTAGATCAAATGTTTTTATATTATTTATAATTGTAGGTTTCCTTTTTGTAGTCTTCTCTTTCTCTTTTTTTTTAGTTGAACATATATTAGGATTCCGAATGTATATTAATCATTGTAACCCATGGAGCTTAATTTATATTTCTCTCCCAGACGGATCGGCTTGCACAAGTGAACAGATGCCCACTGTCAGAGCGACTACTTACTTGATATCAAACATGATGCTGAATGACAACTTCAAAATGTCAGCATTCTGTGCGTAAGTATGCTTCTATATATACTTTAAAACATTTATTTGGTTACTCTCAGTTACAAAAAATTGTTAATGAAACATTATATTTTTATTTGTAGAATAATTTAATGTCCTGTAGAATTGTACTTTGAAAAAATAACGTCGATGTCGTTCTTGTTTTTCGCATCGCCCGAAAGCCATATAAAGGTAAACACTGCCACACACGGGAAACGCTTGCCGCCATCTGGCTGTATCGTCACGGCTGCAGAAAGCGTAGCCGCTGATTGGACAATTATTTTAATTGGCCTGAATACCATGGAAAACACTGTTTTCATAGAAACAGACGTAATGAAGGTGTTTTTCTATTTGCAGCACAAATAATTGGGCTTAATTTCGGTTTTACGCAAATTTTTGTGCTGTTATAGACTTCCAGATAATTGTATATTATATTCTTTCAGTATTTTAAATGTTTTTGGTAGAATCACAATGAAGATTATTACTCAAAGGTAGATTTCTGTAGATTTATGCATGTGTAGGCCTACTTATTAATACTCAGAAGAACAATGTTATAATTACAGAACATACGCACATCCAATAGACATGAATGCAATATTGCAGTTTTAAATCTAAGGTGTGTCACGACGTGGTGGAATCAGGTGCTCGTCAATACGATGGGCAGTATCATCTTAAAGCCTGTTCATTTGCCTTCTGTTTGGTGAAACAAATATCCATCTATCTTGAATAGAAGTCGAAATATATGCGATTGAAGGAGGTCCGGTTTCTGGGATAAGATTAGCGAGAAAATGGCCACTAAAGTTTGGTAACTTCCATAGCCTGACAGTCATTACGAAAATGAAAATTTACATTTTCTGTGCCTTTACTCAATGTTTTTCATTAAAATCCACACAAAAATGTGTTTTTAAATGGACATAAAAAGTGTTGAGCCAAAAAAAGAAATAAAAAAAAAATTGCCCCTCAGCCAAAAAAATGATGATTTCTTTACTAACATTATTTTGATGATCGCCTGATTTCACCACGAATGCCTCACATATTTTCATGGTATGGATGGAGGGTAGGAGCATATCCTCTAGGCTAAATGTAGTTATGCGCATAATCAAGTTGAGTTCATAATATATATATAATCAAACATTCAAAACTTTTCCCCCACATTTTCTCATTTTTTCCCTTTGCAAACAAAGACTTGTATACATCTAAATAATCTGTTATAACAGAATGCATAGACACATGTATATCAACAAGCGATGTTCATTTGTTTTTTAATTGAAATGGGCATAATTAGCCTACTTAGTTATTAGCATTTATAGCTGCAATTATAAGTTAGTACATTTCTTTAAAGATACTGAGCTTGATGTTATTTATTAACCTGTTAGTTCCCCACTTTATGAGCTGTTACTGGCTACAATTTGGTTAGGTTAATTATGTGCAAATTCAAATGAGTGCATCATCAATCAAACATTTTAAACCTTATTTGTCACATTTTCTAATTCGTTCTTTGCAAACACAGATTTTTATATATCTACCTGTAGCCTAACTGAATGGATATGCATGTCCATTATTAAACCATAATAATGCTTATTTTTCTATAAATATGCAAATTTTATTATTTATTTGCTTATAATTAACAGGGTATTGAGATTACCACTTTAATTCTTCCATTTACTATACCAAGTTGCAAAAGTTCTGTCACACCCACCTTAAAAGTACAATAACTCATTTACTACTCAACATAGCCAAGAGAAATTTGGTACATGCGATCTTTATTCATTTTCTGCCAACATGACGTAACAAAATTGACAAATGTCTTTCCTTATTCAAGGGGGATCATTTTATTCACAATGACTCTTGCAAAATCCAAATCAAAGTTTGCTCAGTATGGCGTGTGGCCTCTTCTAGCTTGAATTACAGATACAAAACATCTGTTCATTGACTGAATTGAAGTCCTTATGGTTGTCTGAAGAATCCCCTGCCATTCCTTGTGAAGTGCAGCCTTCAGTTCCTGACCAGTTTGTACTGAGTGCGGTCTGTTTCTAATCCTCCAGTCAAGGTCATCTTACAGATGTTCTGTTAGGTTATGACTTGTGGATCTTGTAGGCCAGTCCAGAACAACGATTTGATGTGTTTGGAAGAAGTTTTCAATGATCGTAGCCATTTGTGGTCGGGCTTTGTTTTGATAGCAGACTCCATCATCGGTGCCATGTAGCGTAGTCACCGTGACGAAGAATTAGGTCACAATAATGTCATTATTTGAGGTTGCTTTGAAAAGTAACTAAATGTATACCATAAAAAGCAGAGATTCCACCCCTTATAATCACATTTCAGCCACCTTTGGGCCTCTTGGGGGACGTTGGATTTGTGAAATTTATATTGTCTACTTTTAAACACTTTTTCTCTTCCATCAATGCGACGAATTAAAAACCTTAACCATTGCTGAAAAGAACACTTTACCAACGTCTTTAGTTTCACAGACAATGTTATTGTGCCAAAATTTGGCGATTTCTTCTATGAACAGGGTTAGAATGGTTCCATATAAAGGGCGATAATCACGTAATCCACGATCTTAAAAATGTCCCATATAATGATGTTTCAAGACAGTCCGAAATGCCTAGCAGTCTCTGCACCAAGCTGGAATGGGTTTTGAACATGGGTGTTGACAATATCCCAATTCTGATGCCGAGTTGTCGCCCTTGGTTGGCTACGTCTCGGCTTGTCTTGGTCAGTTCTAGTGGTGTTAAAACGTTTGTTCTAGTGTTAGATGATTCCTCTACAAACATTTACGTGTCTTGCAATAGCAGAAAGCGCAATTAAAGAATTTATCATACACACAGCCCCTTTATTTTCTGAACTTATCATTTTTTAAATTTTGAAAACAGGAGAAAAAGATACCCAACCGATAATAAGTACGGAATTTTATAGTGTGTAAGGTGTGTTTACACATTTTCTATGTGATTCAAAGCCAATTTTGTGTGTAGGAAGCGTTGATTTCAACACAGACCGAGAGAAATCAATATCAACACTTTGTCCGCGTACTACTTCCGGTTTATGATTTCTTTGGTCTGCTCTTGCACAAGAAGTCTCATAAGTCCCACAAGTCATACTTTTAAATTTTACTAAAATTCGTTTTCTATATCGAAAAGTATCGTAATATAATGGGTGTGACAGAACTTTTGCAACTCGGTATATTTTGTTGCCCCCTAAAACATAAACTCACCAATTTTAAGCTCATTTCATTCATAAATGTGAAAGTTATCTAGTATAATGTTGGTTTTCAATATTCTGGTGCTGTTAAACCTTCTATATTCCTCGATAAGAATTTCTCCAAAATACCCTCAATTTCTGACACGTACGCAGACATAATTTTTTAAATTTATGGGCCTGATTTTTGAAAAAGTAGAAAGCATTATACTTCTGGATTATTGATCCTGTACCTGTGTTGTTCATAGGTTAGTTAAGTACCCGTCTTTACAAAATGTGTGGTTTGCTACATTTCTTGATATTGCCTTGCCACGCTCAGATAAATGAATTTAGTTAAAGTCTACTCTTTCATCAGAATTGTGGAAGACAGACATTGTGGGTTATTGGAAGTCATCAGTGGCAAGTCCTACTTTGTCCCTAGCCCTATGTTGTTTCTGTCTGTCTGTCTTGATCCTTTCCTGCATGAAATAGCAGTCTTTTCATGCAGAAAGTGGCAGTCACTTAGGCAATGAACAATACTGTTTACTCGAAAACTCACTGATTTCTTCTGAGGCTGAGTGTAAAATCCTAATTAACTACCTCTTCCAAGTTTCTATGATGAGAGAATACAAGGGCCCACAAAATCAGAACAAATTAATTACTTCTTTACAGAAGTTTTTAGTGTACAAGATACTTTTTACATGCTACAGGAAGTTGGGGATAAATTAGACCAATATGATGTTTTACAAAATCAACGCTCTACAACAGTTTGTTTGTTTGACAAAAGAGAAGCATATCGACACAATAATGGTAACCTAGTGCTGGGATAAAGTTAGACAGACAGACAGAAACAACAAAGGAAAAGTAAGGAAGTAGAACCTACCAGTGGTGCCCTCCAACCCCCCCCCCCCCTTCTGCCCACTATCCAAGAGTGGCCAAAGTTATTTATTACTTTTTATGAATAAACGAACGGAGAATGATTCCAATTTCATGTCTTTTCTTGACTCAGTCCATGGTGTCTTTTCTTTTATGACTTGGAAATCTTATTTGTGCTGTTTCATCCTTTTATTACGAGGTGATACACCGTCATCAATTTTTATAATTATGCTATAGTGGTTTGGTTTGATTTGAACTTAGGTCTTTCTCAGATCGCAAATGTAGCATGTTGACGATATACTGCTTCAGACTGTCCATATCCAGAGTATATCTGTGCTACTTCTTTGTTAACATTTTCTTGTGGTAATATGTGTAGTTTATGCCTATGTTTATGTAAATTTTGTTTGCTCGAACAAACAGACTGAATTGTTGAAACGGACAGAAGCATTTTATATACAGTGTGTTTGATAAATATTTCCCTTTCCTTACGCACTTACCTTGTTTATATTATTCCTATACAGCCAAGCCTCTGAAGTCGCATTAGAGATTTCCAGTCAGGGTTGTCTAATGGGATTTCAAAGATCCGTAACAACTAGAAGTGAGTTGACTTCTCTATTAGATAATGATGCATAGATACATACTGATTGTCAACTTATTTGGGTATTTATCTTTGTTGAGAAAGCAACAAATAACATCTGATAACTACAAATAACGAGTGATAACAACAAGTAACAACAGATAACACAAAAATACTTTGATTCCAGCCTCAAAAATCAATATTCATGTGGTCAAGCAGGCCCATACTTTACGTGGACATCTCTGAGCAACTATTGGAAGTAGACTATTCTTTAGGGATGACCGGGGAGTTGCATCACTTTTTTTGTTTACATTCAAATCCAAAGTAAAATCGAAAGTAACAATTTATCGGGAAAAAAACAAGTAGGATGTTTGTGTTGATATTTGTCGTTATTTTGTTGTTACCAGTTGTTATTTGTTGTTATCAGTTGTTATCAGTTGTTATTTGTCGTTATCAGTTGTTATTTTAATTTTGTTGTTAGCTCAACAAAGATATACCGATGTAAGCAGACTACCTTAAAAACCAAGTAAAAGCAAAGAAATTAGGACGTTTGTGTTGATATTTGTCGTTATTTTGTTGTTATCAGTAGTTATTTGTTGCTATCAGTTGTTATTTGTTATCTCGACAAAGATAAATACAGACTTATTTCGTGAATCGATTCATAATATGAGTTGGGACAAGTGAGGAAGGATTGAGAGAGATAGAGAGAGAGAGAGAAATCGAAAGGGAGAATAAGAGATAGATTGAGGTAGGTAGATTGAGACAGGGAGAGAGGGAGGGAGAGAGAGAAAGAGAAAGAGATAGAGAGAATGAGAAAGAGAGAGAGCCAGAAAGAGAGAGAGAGAGAGAGAGAGAGAGAGAGAGAGAGAGAGAGAGAGAGAGA